GAGTGTTAACCGTAGAGTCCTGACCTGTAGATGAGTGTAAACTGCAGAGTCCTGACCTGTAGATGAGTGTTAACCGTAGAGTCCTGACCTGTAGATGAGTGTAAACTGCAGAGTCCTGACCTGTAGATGAGTGTTAACCGTAGAGTCCTTGCCTGTAGATGAGTGTAAACTGCAGAGTCCTGACCTGATGATGTAGCTTGTCTGTGCTGGTTCATTCTTTTGAACAGTGGCTGTTTTGTTTCCCCAATGTATAACTGATCACAGTCCTCCTGACACTTAACAGCATACACTATATTACTCTGTTTTTCCTGCTATTTTGCATGTGATTTACCTGTTTGTCCATGTGGAGGCAGTGCTTATAAGGCTGAGTTTCAACTGAAACTCATCAGACTGAAGAAGTCTCTTGGAGGAGAGACGAAACGTTTCACTAAAGAAGAACCATCCAGAGGACCTACTGATTTTTTTCTTTTGATTTTTTTCTACCTTTAACTCAGGTTTTAAGAAACCTGGACTGAGCTGTGGAACTGCTTTCACCTCCTTATTTTGCTTTTACTTTAGTAAAATCATCATTTATAAAACAATTAATTTTAGTCAGCTTTACTTCGGTTTAAAGTCATTTTGTTAACTTGAAAAAATGTGACAAAAAAAAGCAAAAACTGGTGAAATCTGTGAGGGGTTAAGACTTTTTCACATCTAGTTTCTGTGTTTTACTAAATAAAAGTTCAAACCTCTGCAGTTTTAATATGAAGCTACAGTGTTAAATAAGATGGAGAAATGAAGAGCAGAGATTTGGTTTGTTTTGCATGTATTTAAAACTGCAGACATCCTGCAGCAGTTTATCTTTTCTCTGCTGTAGAACAGCTCCACCTAGTGGCTTCAGCTGTTTATTACAACTGTGGAAAATGCAGCTTTTTTTACAGGATCAACCTGAAATATTCAGCAATAATCTTTAAATCTGTTGTTCAGATGAAAATCTAAATATTTTGAGGAATGTTCACGATAATTAAACTAATGATTTTTTTTGTCCTGACCCCTCTCCAGGACTTTGCCAGCACCATCCCGGGTCACGGAGGCATCATGGACCGCTTCGACTGTCAGTACCTGATGGCCACGTTCACTCACGTCTACATCGGCAGCTTCGTCAGGTGAGGAGAGCAAACGTTGAGTCACAAACTCAGCTTCCTGGAGCTGAAAGATGACGTCATGAAGAGAAAAATGACAGATTAAACTAGTTGACCTGTCAGTTTTTTTATCATCGCCCGTTTTTAAACCAGTACTCACATTTTAGTTGTTCAGTCAATCAAAACTAAATAAACTAAAGATTTTGTGACCAACGTTAAGTCCACCTGAGGACTGCCGTCTCACTGACATTTACAGGAAAAGTAAAAAGCAAAATAAAATAGAAATCAGCAGCAAATTTAAATTTCACTTAAGTTTAGTTTGATTAAACTCATGTTTCATGTCAGCCTATTAAACTGAGATAATAGAGTTGTAGAAAAATATTGATACACTGAAATATCGCAATATTTAATTTCCTGGTAGGATTTTTAATCAAGGCTTCTTTGACTCCTCCACTCCTGAGGAGTCTGAGAGCCTAACGTTAGCTCAGACGTTAGCTCAGACGTTAGCTCAGACGTTAGCATTCTGAGTAAACGTTAGCCCTGTTAGCACCGAGTATCAACGACTGATTCTGAGTGGATCAGACCGACGCCCGCTGCCTTCAGAGCTGAGATGTGGACTCGTTTCAGGTTTGAATGTAAAGAAGGCCGTCACTCTGCCACACCTGAGGCAGAAACTCCGTTAACTTGACGAGTCGTTGAGCACACGTGGTTAGAACAGTGATATGTCCTTGTTTACAGAATCTCAGTACATCGTGATGTTTCATATCCTGACCCTGTGTAGTGACGTGTATCCAATCAACAAAGTCTTACCAATAAACAACCAAACAGAGAAGAGACAGAGTTGTTTCTGTCTTTAAGTTCATTATTATTATTA